TCAGGGGCCACGGTTACTGAAAGCCTCAGGGGCCACGGTTACTGAAAGCCTCAGGGGCCACACATCCAGCAGTTTAAAAAATATTTACAATTTAAAAGCTTTAGTGCAGATAAACTCCTTGGCAGGGTAAACTCAGAGCTTCACCGAGGCTCTGTCCCTTTAAAGTAAGGTATAAAGTAAAGTATAAAGTAAAGTAGTAGTACAGTGAAGTTGTTTTTGTTGAGTTTTTGGTGGCTAACGGAGAACAAAGTTGTCTCTATTTATTCTGTCGGGCTTCACGTGACAGAGATTTGTAGTGAACTTGACCTGATGTCAAAACTTGACCTTAGGATCATATGGTCAGAAACTGTCATTTCATTGATTTGCATCCAGAGATACAGGTTGACCCATCCTGAGACTTTCTTTCTTGAATTAATCAAGTGGAAAAAGACAATTCTCTATGATCATTACTATTTTACAAATGTTTTGATAATCAAATTGTGTTAGTTCAAACAATGTTTACATGTTGAAGTGAACTACTCATTTTTATTTACTTAAAACAGTAATAATGATTTTTAATCCTCATTTCAAAGTGAAATCAAGTTAGACTACGTTACAGAGTAATGATTCAATTTCTTGATCGTCTGCTTTGAAGTGAACAAGTTTTGTAAGTGTGTCGAAGTTCAAGTTTCGGTCAACTGAAAGTTTACTGAAAAGAAATGTCATGTTTAACTTTTACAGCAAGATACTTGGTGAGTGACTCCACGAAGTCTGGTTTTCTCCATGATATCTTTCTGTCTGTTCTTAAACAATCTGAATCTTTTCCTTGACTTTTAATAACACCTTACATCACAAAACACACCTCTGTTCTGGTCCACCGACCAATCAGAGGCTCTCAAATGCACCGGAAATAGAGCTCTTTAAATGTCGGTACTTCCTCGTTCTCCCCAGTTCCTGTTGGGTCGAAGTTCCAAGCTGGGAAACAGGACATGACCACAGAGCTCTCCCGAGTCTTATGGGATTATAAATCTTCCACCTCTGAGTGGAACTCGGACGGACTCCACTCATGTGAAGTCCACTTGTTGAGGTGAACTGTTGTTGACGAAGTCGCGTCACCACTCCGGATATATCTCTGCCATCCTACGGAGACGCTGAAAGGTAGCGTTAACTGGAGCTCCTCTTCCGCTGATTCATCGTCAGAGAGGTAATGAGTCTAATCCACTACCGAGCGTACCGAGGAAAGCTGGGTCGGATGGAGGGTGTCGTCCTGTCAACACTTTTCACTCATACACACACCATCTCCCTTCCTCTAAACTTCAATCTTTAAAATTCTTCTATCTGCTAGCAAATTAATCCAGATGTTTTTCAGAAATGTCTGTGGTAAAGCAACGGAAAACCATGGCCGTATGGTTTTCCTGGTTGTAAAGCTGATTAATTATGTCGTTATTTTCAATTTTGCCAATTAATGTAAATGTATGATGTGTTAAACTTGATTCTGTTAATAAATGACCCACTGTTGTGGTGAGTCAAAGATAATTAACGTCTCACGTCCACATTTTACTACATTTAATGCACGTATGTTATACAGTCCAGAAAAATGAAAGAACCCGTTTTAACAGTATGAATATATCATGCATATGTTCATCTACAGATTTGAAATCTCGTCCTTCAGCTCAGGAAAACAAAAATCTGCACAAGGTAAAATAAATTAGCAAAAGTCAAGTAAAATATAGAACTGGGTTCTAGAAGTTAATAACAGAACAAAATGCAATAAAACGGTACAGTTGATGCAGCAAAATAAAAGATAAAGATAAAATAAAAAAATAATCAAGATAAAACTGAGCTGAATAAAAAAAGTATTTTTCTTCTGCAGGAGAAACTAAATCAGCACCGGCGCAGTTCAAACACGACTTTATAATGTTTCAAATCAAAAGGTAGATCCAACACGGACTCACTTGACGATGCCGTATCCCAGACTGGCGATGATGACCAGAACCCTGGCCAGAGTCCTCTTCACAGCCGAGAGCACCTCAGCGAACAGCACCGCCCCATGGACTGCAGGAGGACACGGCACCTCGTTAGCTCGCATCACAGCCGCTGTGAGAGGGCGGAGCTCTGCACGTCCTACCTGACAGCCCGTCGTATCTGATGCTCTGGAACTCGGCGTAGTAAACGGCTTTCTCCAACATCCCCAGGAAGATGACGCCTCCGATCCAGAACTGGATCCTGAGCAGGTCCCTCCAGAAACAGGCGGACAGAACCAGCCAGAGCACGGCCATCAGCACGTAGACGATGCACATCACCATGTAGAACTGGAGGACAGAAGCAGAGATGCTGGTGGGTGTGAGGGAAGCTGGAGGTTGACGTTTCCTCTGAGCGGATGTTCTCACCATCATCAGGGGCCACTCGGTGGCAGAGATGTAGCCGTGAGGGCCCTCCATGCTGACCTGAACTAAAACACAGAGATCCAGAGGGTAACGAAGGCTGTTTACAGGAGACGGAGGATCAGATGCAGCTATGTCGCAGGAACGTTCTTCTTTTAAATAAAACATCAAACATTTTCTCCTAAGATCTAGTAAATATACCAGTT